CTGGAACAAATTCTTTCTATCTGTACACTTTTTACAAACCGACCTTTTGGAGAACTTATTTCGCCGTTCTTCACGACCATTTTCATGGGTTGCTAAGATTACCTGAAGCCACACAGATTTGACTACAATATTTGAGTCCAAAAGGGAGCTATACATCTCATCCAATTGTTGAGCGCCAGTTTTGTTTGAGTAAGATTGAGGAGCCATGAACACTTCAACGCGGAGTCCAACTGAATGGCAAGAACTGGCATTAAGCTGTCTAAGTGTGTCCAGAAAAGGCCTGTCACGTTTGCAAATCCCATTGTGCTTACCAGCAGCGGCTAACTTAATGTTGGCAACGGCATTGGGATCGACTTTCCCTTGACCGAGACTCGTATAAGCTCTGCAAGACAAGTGTTCACGAATAAAGATGATGAAGGTAACGATCACAATAGCGGTAGTGGCTGATTTCGGCCGTGCTAGGCGAAAACATTGGCAAATGTTACGATGCTAGTGCCCACAAAGTTGGAAGCTTGAAAACTGTGGGGTAAAGGTGACATCAGAGGGAGGCTGAGGAACAAGGATTCTCCAGGTCTTTTCTACATGTACTCCTCTAGCTATACGCTGTGTTGTTACTATAGGAGATTGTTTCAAGTCTTGAAAATAAAAATTTCACCCTTCTTGTTTGTAGCGCTCAAGCGGACTCAAAGGCATGGGTCAGGATGAGGCGGTCAAAGGGACAATGACGACAACAGTGCGGCTACAAAGCAGTGGTGGAAGCAAGGTAAAAAATTTTGGATTGAATTATCTCTACAGATTTTAATACTTTGACAACCATGCCTGACACTCTTGTGCGCCACGACAGGTCGGGCAGCCCACATGTGAACTGCAGCCGCGACATCCAAACAGGCGTTATGATCGCTCGCGGCCTCAAATTCCAAAACATGCGCGGGCTCTAACATTTCAGATTCTCAGTAATCAGATTTTGATATGAGTCTGACGCTGGATATTTCGTGACCCCTTCCTCTACAGAAATACAACTAGTTTCAGCGAATGGATAGGCTCAATTTAGTTGTTAGAGGCAAAAGAAGGGATGAATTGTAATCGTTGTTACGAATGAAAACGTTATGTTTGGGTCAAGTGATGCACATTTGGATTTCATGGTCCCGAACGGCAAGAACTTCCCTTACAAACTAAACAGATGAAGAATGAAATTCCCTGAATTCTTTTGCTATTGTTTGCTAATGGTAAGTACGAGGTTCCTTACCATCTACACTGCGTCCCATAATTATACGTCCACCTAAGAATTTCCCAAAATCTCACAAATATAGATGTTTCGAAAAAAGTCTCAATGTGACAATGTATCGCATATAAATACGCAATTGCCTATGAACATCAATTTTCTATTTGAGATCACAGGAATTTTTTCCAATAATTTTTGTGTAAAAGGCCACTCAGCCGACGTCCCAAAATTATACGTCCACCTCACGTTTATCGATTACTTTTCACTTCTGTTCCGAAACTTTTTCATTGTGGTAACACTTCACTTCTTAAGGGAACAGCATAATAAAACTGCTGTTGGATTTTGAGAAAGGTTAGGTTGTCGCAAAAACTGTTGAACAACGCAATCGCGCCAGATTTGGACCAAATTCACGCCAAGCTCAAGAATTTTTCAGGGGTTTCACATGATATGGAGTTTAGAAGAGCTCTAAGGGTCTCTCATTACTTTTCGATGGAAACAAAGGCCGTGTCACAGAAAAACATCCACTTTCATCCAACGGTGCTCTGTCATCGAATCTTCTTCAGAACTTAATGCCTCAACAACTTTTGTTTCATGCGTGTGAAGGGAATCCCAAGATCATTCTTGATTAGTAAAATGTGAAAGGCGTTCATTTGTGGCAAGGAATCGTGGCGAATGAATATGGGCTGATTCTTCCATGAAGGAGCAGCCGAGCCGACCGAGGCAGTTTTTTCTTGCCCATGCATGAGTGTTTCTTTTGTCTTTTTCACCATTTTCTTTCTTCTAGTAGTAGTGCTTCACTGAGAAAAAAGCCACTATGGGGAAGGTAAATGTGAGAAAAAAACAAATGGCACCTTGATGCAAAAACCAGCCCAGTTTTCGCCACGATTCCTTGCCACAAATGAATGCCTTTCACATTTACTGATCAAGAATGATCTTGGGATTCCTTCACATGCATGAAACAAAAGTTGTTGAGGCATAAAGTTCTCAAGAAGATTCGATGACAGAGCACCGTTGGATGAAAGTGGATGTTTCTTTTGTGACACGGCCTTGGTTTCGTTCGAAAAGTAATGAGAGACCCTTTAAAGCTCTTCTGAACTCCATATCATGTAAAACCCCTGAAGAAGTTCTTTAGCTTGGCGTGAATTTGGTCCAAATCTGGCGCGAATGCGTTGTTCCACAGTTTTTGCGACCACCTAATCTTCTTCAAAATGCAACCCCTTAAAGCAACAGTCCAAGGAGGGTTTCAACCAATTCAATCCTGAGGTGTGGAAGCATGCCCCAGCCCAAGTAAAGTTCATAGGAACTGTCACTGAATTAAAAACTTACCTTTGAAATGCGTAGGAAGGGCTCGAACTTCTTCGAAAAGGGCGGGTCCACCGAGCCTCGGTGGAGCCGCCCCCTTGCTGCTGTGAAGAGCGCGGTGTTGATTTTTGGTCGTTGCGGGACCGCTGGGTCTATTTGAGGTCGATCCTTCAAAGCAATCGATGTAGTGATGCCGACAACGCTGAATTTCTACATTTTTTCCTTCTACCTTCTACTTTCAAAACGATCGATCCCATAACGATCCCATTATTGCCCCCCAATTGCAATAGCTGGCAATTAGCCAGCTATTGCCAGCTATTGCAATTGGGGCGCATTTACTGCGGGCATGTTCATACAACTCGTCCAAAGAGCGTCTTCCTCCATTGCTAAGTGGCGAGGGGGAGCCCCTGTCCTAGTACCTGTTCAACGTCTTTTTTGAAACTTTTCTTTCATTATTGGTCAACTTTGCACCCACAACTTCATTATCGGTGGTTTTTGCCCGCGAATTCGTTCTTGGACTTTGCTTTAAAGGCAAAGGTCGGGATTAGTTGACCAAACCAACCCTTTCGGTCATGCCTGTACTTGGTTACGCACCCGTAGAGATGTTCCCACACTCAAAACCCGAAACGGCGCAGTAATAAGGCCCCAGGGCATGTACTATGCGCTATCGCCGCCTGGCCCCGCTACGACCGCCCACCTCGGGATGTGGTGCATGGCTGGCATAACGTGTGAAATCAGCTAGGTTGATTGCCGTATCAACCGATAGAACGACTGATATCTCCAGAAAACTTGTTTGTACGTGCCTCTTCCCAAGCCAGCCTCCTTCACTGCTAGTGGGAAAGAGGGTTTTGTTAACGGCCTTGTCGACGGTTTTTCTCAGTTTTTTCTCCACTGTCGTTCCACTTCGCATCTCTATACTCAGTTTCAATCGCCATAATACCCCCTTATTGAGCCCGACTTTTGCCTTTAAGAAGTGAAGGTTACCACAATGAAAAAGTTTCGTGGAACAGAAGTGAAAAGTAATCGATAAACGTGAGGTGGACGTATAATTTTGGGACGTCGGCTGAGTGGCCTTTTACACAAAAATTATTGGAAAAAATTCCTGGATCTCAAATAGAAAATTGATGTTCATAGGCAATTCCGTATTTATATATGACACATTGTCACATTGGAGACTTTTTTCAAAACATCTAATTTGTGAGATTTTGGGAAATTCTTAGGTGGACGTATAATTATGGGACAGTGTAACCTCCTCTTTAAAAAGCCAGAAAGTGTCGGGTGCAGACCATACACCACAAGTGACGACGGCCTCCACAAAATGTAATGTTTTCTGCCAATGAAATGATTAGCCTGTTGCAGTTGTATTCTATCAGTTGTCACTAATTACAACTATCATTTACCAAAAATCAGCTATCACTATGAACCACTACTAACCAGATTTACTTGGAGGCCGTCGTCACTTGTGGTGTTGGTCTGCACCCACACTTTCTCGCTTTTTGAAGGGGAGGGTATATCCATAAGCCTTTTTTTCTGCGCGTCACTTTATTCAGGTGTTTATATAGTTCAATAGACGCCAAGATTAAACATCAGGAATGGAGAGTCGCTCAGCCCGTTAGAGCCAAAGGTCCATAGTGGAAGTAGAAAAGAAGGCTAGATTCGATTCGTTGAGTTGTTATACCTTATGAAAGCCGTTTTGTACCCGTCGCGAAGGCACTGCAATGAGGACGGAGTAATCGGATCAGTCAAGTCGAAGGCGTCTGTGAAAGAGGCCTGAAAAAGAAAAACTAAGTGGCGCATTTCGATACTTCCAACAGGCAAGCACTGGGGCATGCGACGTACCAATTCAGAGGCTGCCTTTTGGTCCACGGCATTCACGTGCTGGGTAACTGGGCTGGTGAAGCAGCCCAGGATAAAGTACGCTGGCAGCACAAAAAGTTTTCGCATAGCTGGAACACAAAATTCAAGGAGTAGTTCCTTGTGATGAAATGCCGATCAAACGAGGAGACGAAAAAATGCGAAAAAGTGGTAAAGCTCGAGCGTCTGAGCAAACCTTTATTATCACCACGCCACGGCGATAAGCCGCGAAGAAGTACGTGGCAAGCTGAAAGGCTCCGTGTCCAGCATCTTTTCAGCCAAATGCAACTTTTCTATCGGTGATTTTGGCTTGAACACATGAAGCAAAGGAATAGCGTCGCACTAAAGAGGAAGATATGATGTTAAAGCAACAGTCCCAGCAGGGTGGGCGTGGTCGGAAACGACTGCAATCCCCTCGGCCGATTCCGACCACGCCCACTTCAGCTCCCTCCCTAGCGGCTTTCCAAGGTGAGTTTTTGTTCAGTCACACTTCTTACGTTCTTGACTAGGGGCTGAACAGCTCCGAAGTGGGAATCGGCCGAGGGGATTGCAGCCGTTTCCGACCACGCCCACCCTGCTGGGACTGTTGCTTTAACACCTGCAAAAACTG